TGGTGTACGCCATCATGAGGCTCAGCACCCCAACACTGTTTGCCAACTGACCCTCCCTTCCCCTACTCAGCCCCTTGCCAGCTCGAAGAAGCCAGAGCGAACACAACGCCCCTTCTTAACAAACAAAAAAGGGAGGAATGTTGGCAATAATGGCATCGATAGGTTTCAGTTCTTACTGCACCCTTAAGCTTCCATTTCCCAGGGTCAACGGTCCTGCCTCAGTCTAGCTTGAACCCTCCTTCTCCCCAACCTCCAATCAGCATGAACCATAAGATCCTAACCAATAGATCATGCTGAGTCCCACTGAGGGGTATTTAAGCCCCGGCCCCCCCCCCCCCCTTCTCTCCCTCTCCCACCTGGCAATAAAGAATATCTTGGCCAGATAACTCCTCTCCACGTGGTCACTTTGGGCCTACATTTCCAACACAAATGCCCCCTCTTTCCCTGCAGTGAGAAAAATGGACACCAAGGGGTTTTTACCACGCGTTGGGTCCAGCCCTCCTCCAGAGTTAGGTAACTGCATTGCAGCAAGGCCATTAGCCCACCCAGTGATGTTCAAACTCCTTTTCCTCACATTAAAAATTCCTTCTCAAACATGTCTCTGGACACCCTGTCCAACCTCCATATCCTGATGCAAATCCAGTCTCTTCCCTGTCACCAGTGGTGTCAACCTCCATGCCTCCAAGTGAACCTCCAGTTCCCACTTCATCTGGATCCCTTTTCCCTACCCTTTACTCCAAGGTGACCTTTCCCCATGTGAGCTGCCCTAGCTCCTAAGGGTGCCTTCTGTCCCCTCCTACCAGCCTAGCATGCTGCCCTACCTGAATTCTGATCTACCTGGGTTGAGCCTCTAACTCTGAAACCTTGATCAGACCCTTTCTGGGCTTCAGTTTCTTCATCTGTAGAGTGGACACTATGGATGGGATATCTCTAAGATCCCTCCCAGTGTGACTCTTCTCCCCAGCCCCACCCCCTAACTTAAGCCGTAAGGATAGTGATTTACTCAAGGTCCTCCAGTACTGGGGGCTGAGCTCTGATCCACTGAGATCATTCATCTATCCCCACTGGCTGAGGGAGTCCCCTGGGGCCTGAGCCAACCCAGCAACAGCCTCTACTTCCTCCAACATAGTCTCTGAGCATGCGCTCTTGGCCCTTCATTGTGTTTAAATTGAATGGACTTGTTTATTGTGAAGCAAAGTAGGGATTTTGAAAGGGAAACAACCAAGTAGCCAAGTTTCTCAGTTCTTCCTCTTTGTAGGTCCTTTTTATACACACCTCCTTCCCTGCTTCCCTCATCTTCCTGACAGCTGGAGGCTGGCAGTGCTGACCTCAGCTGTAGATAAGGAACTCACTTACAGTGCAGAGACCTGCCCAAGGTGACCTGACAGGGAGACACCCCATGAACTGTCAGCTTGACTAAACCCCACTATAAAGAGGGGCTGCCCTTCAGACCTGAGCTATCCACCCTCAAAAGATTACACTCCAGGGAGACAAAAAGAAGGTGGATAGTCCCTATATTCTTTGGAAAACATATTGCTATGCCGTCTTCTCCAACAGCTAGGAACCATGAGAAAGCTAAGGATTAGAAGAACAGTACCGAGTGGGAATCTTGACTGTTCAATGTGACCCTAGGAGAGTCACCATAACTCTCTGGTGTCCGTACCTGCCTTTAGAAATTGAATATAAGGGTACTCACCTCAGAGACTTGTTTGGAAAAGCAAGAAAAGTGCAAACTGAATATGGACAGACTTCAGCCTGGAGTTTGGCCCAGAACACCCCCAGGTCTTCCTTCCTGAGCAGAACCTGCTGGGCAAGAATCTCTGCCTTCAGTCCTGGCTTGTTTTGGTACTGTCAGAGTCACCTTCTGACCAGTCCTCACCTCCCCCAGTCCTGTTTCTTCCCCTGGGCCCAATCTGAGCACCAGTTGCGAGGGACAAGCCTTCCTCTTAAAGGGATACACTGTTAGCCACAGGGGCTGTCCTCACCTGCCTTCCCAGGGTCTGTGCCTCAGGGCAAGTCACTCCTCCCTCTGGGTTTCAGAGGCCTGATCAGTGAAATGGTTTGTGGTGAGAATTCTGGGCAGACTGTTGGAAAGGTATTTGTAAGACCCATTCACTGCTCTTAAAAGTCTAAGGCATGGGTGTGCTGTTTTGGGGACAAGGGATCTTGTCTTTATCTTTGGACCTAACCCAGGTCACCTCAGCCCAGTTGGCTTGCTGATGGATACACTGTGTATTAGGCACATCCCTTTCCTTTTTCTCCAACAAATAGAAACAACTAGCACCTCCAGAGCTTTTGTGAGAGTGGGTAAAAATATGTGGCTAAGTGTCCAGTGCAGTGGCCAGCCCATAGGAAGGGATCATTAAATATCAGTTATTACTATTTCATCTTTCATACTCTTCCAGATGGGGTTATATCCCCATTATACAGATGAAGAAACTAAGGCCTAGCCAGGGAAAGTGGCCTATCCATCTCCTTGTAGTTAGCCAGGACCAAACTACAGTTCTCCAGCTATCTCCTTAGGATACCATGGCTATCTAGACAGAAAAAGAAACAGGCCTATCAAAAGAGTTGTGCAGGGGAGGCATCACTCATCACTGGGAGGGGTAAAGGAAAGGAACCCGAGGAAAAGAGAATGGAAGTACACTATATCTATATGAAGACAGCATAATGAACTCACTAAACATGGAGAGGGGAAGAGGGAGCGGGTGAACGGGAATATAATGGAAGGGGTGAACTTGTTGAAGGTGTACTGTGCACATGTATGAAATTATTACCATGAAATCCCCTCATTATCAATGTATGGTAAGTCAAAGATAAAATTTTAAAACTGTGCAGTAGGTATACTATTGCATACCTGTAGTCCCAGCACTTGGAAGGCTGAGCAGGAAGAGGCCAATATGGACTATATAGTGAGTTTCAGACAAACCTGGGCTACACGGCAAGATCTTTTCTCAAAAAGTCTCTCTTCTCTCTCTCTCTCTCTCTCTCACAAAGAATTGCACAATGGTAGATAGATAGATAGATAGATAATAGGTAGATAAAAGAATTGTGCACAGCAGTGTCACTCATAGCTGTGTGGATATATGTGTTTTTGGATGACCAAAACTGCTGTCAGATGACAAAATTACAGCAACTTATTTTAAAGGTTTTAATTGGCTTTATGTTTGATTCTAGAATTGGACAACACTTCATTTCATAAAATACAACAAGTGTTCCACTGAGCCAAGCAGAGTTCTTTGTTAGCTTGTTTTTTGCTTTTAGATGGGGAGCTTACTAGGAGGGTGCTCTACCACTTGAGCCACTCTGCCAGCCCTTTTTTGTGTTGGGTGTTTTTGAGATAGAGTCTCTCAAACTATTTGCCCAGGCTGTCTTTGAACTGAGATCCTCCTGATCTCTGCCTCCTGAGTAGGTGGTTTACAGGCATGAGCCACCAGCACCCAGCTTTTTTTTTTTTTGGTGGGACTGAAGTTTGAACTCAGAGCTTCCCACTTGCAAAGCAGGTGCTCTACCGCTTGAGCCACACCTCCAGTCCATTTTGCTCTGGTTATTTTGGAGATGGGGGTCTCATGATCTATTTGCCTGGGATTGGCTTCCAACTATGATCCTCCTCATCTCTGCCTCCTGAGTAGCTAGGATTACAGGAGTGAGACACCAACACCCAGCACCATTTCAGTTTTTGGTGTGGCCTGTTGGGGTTTCGTGAAGCTTAGTCCAAAACAATGACCTCCTATAATTTTTATTTCACACTGCCAAAGTGGATCATAGGTGCTAGGGCAAGGATGGCAAAGCAGTAAAAATGCCCATCCAGGTACACCCACCTTCAGCTGAAGGGCAACACCTGGGAGGACAGAAGTAAGCAGAGGTGGGCCTTTGTCTCTGGTCAGCATAGGAGGAAAAACCAAAAATCCTAGAGAAGAGGAAGTTGAAGTCAGCACATTTTGAAGGGGAAAAAGCTTTGAAATTCACCATGCCAATATCCAAAAACAGTTTGCTATTTTTCCATTAGAAAAATGAGGTCGGGCCAGGTGCCAGTGGCTCAGGCCTGTAATCTTCAGAAGACAGAGATCAGGAGAATCGTGATTTCAGGCCAGCACAGGCAAATAGTTCTTGAGACCCTATCTCAAAAAACCCATCACAATTAAGGGCTGGTGAGTGGTTCAAGCAGCAAGAGCAACTGCCTTGCAAGTGCGAGGCCCTGAGTTCAGACTTAACCAAGAAAATAAGAAATTATTCATTTTTATGTGTAAAGCAACCCTACAAAATAGAGAATACTCTTCAATTTTATAGCTAGAGACACAAAACCTCTAAAAGGTGACCTGACCTGTCCAAGGTCACAGAATGATGCGTGTAGGGAGATAACCCGAACTCTATTTCAAAGGCAAGCCAATAGTTAAATAGTTGTAAAGATCTGGGAAGGTGTTTGTTTGTTTGTTTTGTGGTCTGTTTGCTTTCTGCAGTTACTGACGCTTGAACCCAGGGTCTTGCACATGCTAGGCAATCATCCCACCAGTGAGCTGGGTTTTCAGGGTAGACAGAAAAACATCAGGTGGAGTAGGAGTCAAGAAAGGCCATCTGGCAAAATCCAAAGCCTGAGCAAAGGCCAACAGATTTTTTAAAGCTCAAGATTTGTAGGGCAATCCCTTTGCCCTACAAATCTTGGGAGCCAAGAGCAGCGAGGGGATCATCTCTGTGTCCTGCCCGTGCCCAGCCCTGCACTGCAGGTCGAGGCCCCACCCGTGTCCAGACCCTTCTCGGCACCGTACAGTCACCATCAACCAGCCTTGACCCAGTTCTGACCCATCCCTGCCTCGCGTGCAGGGTCTCTCCTTTCCCGCCAGGCCCAGGCTCAGGCCCCACCTCCGTCTGGCTTGGAGCACAGCCAGAGGGCTCTGCCTCGCCCTGGACCACGCCCCCTCCAGGCATGGTACAATCAGAATCGTCCTCCCGCCTGGGCTCCTCCCAGTCCGGACAGTTCCTGCCCAGGCGAGAGCGCGTCCTGGCCACGCCCCCTGCGTGCTGCGCAACTGGCCCCGCCCCTGCCCCGCCCCGTCCAGCCTCTGTCCTGCGCGACCTGGGTGGCTGAGCCGGTGACTCCGCCTGGCGCGCGGAGCTGTAGCCATGGCTGTCATCGCTGAGGGCGCCCGCAGGAAGGAGCGCATCCTCTGCCTGTTTGATGTGGACGGGACCCTCACGCCAGCTCGCCAGGTAGGGCCCCGAGTTCTCCCACGGGAGTATCACAAGGACAGCCAAAGGAAAGTGTGGGGTCTGCAGCGCTGTGACCGCGGACACAGTGTGGGATGCATCGGTTCAGGCCTCTGGCATCCCTGAGCCGACCACCCAGAGTGATGGAGACCTTGGCCCCGCCATGCCACAGTGTCCGCGCCCACGTTCTTACTGGGAGCGCTGGGGCTGGACCCAGTTCCGAAGGGAGCGTTCGTGATCCGGAGCCTAGGTCCCCCCAACCCCAGGCTTCCAGAAGACGAGGCCTGGATCCGGGACGCCCCCGGGACACACCCATTTCATTCCTAAAATACACCAGTAGTTCCAAGCCAGCGTCTGAACCCGGAGTTCCAGGTCCTGCTCAGCGCACCTAAGCGTCAGAGTCGCCCTCTGGTGGGGGCAAGGGAGTCTCTGAACAGTTCCACCCCAACGTTTGGAGGCCTGGGTTTAGTTTCTTAAGCACCCCCCCCACCCCCCCCGCCACGGGCATTACTTTGCACCTCTTCTTGTGGAGGGAGAGAGCGGTTCTTTCTGAAGAGTTTTTGGGCTCCACTACCTGAAAGTGAGAGGCTCCAGGCCTAGTCTGCTTATGATGGGACACAAGCACTAGGTGAGTGGGAGTGTAGTTTTCTTACACTTTAACCTCTCCTCCCGGCCCAGTTTCTAGCTTTGTTCATCCTGGGTGAGTCTTCAGACCCACCCTCACCAGCTGGATAAATCAGCAGGCTCGATTCCAGCTGTGGCTTCCACCCTCCAATGTGGGGAACAAGGATTATGGAAGGGTTCTCCCGGTGCAGGAGCAGTGGGGCTGGGTTACTGGGCAGAGGCTGATGGGAATCTGGGTCTTAGCCTCCAATACCCCTTCCCTCCTCTGTGGAGAAGTTGCCCTGTCTTGGGCCCTAGGGCAGCAGGAAGGAATCAGCCACCCTGCTTTCCAGCAGGGGTGGATCGGGAAGATGCAGAACTGGGTGGTACAGCCTGAGCTGTGTTGTGTGGTCACAACAGCCTGGGCAAGAACTGCCTGATAGTTTGTCCACACCAGGTTCCAGGTTTAGTGTTTTTCAAAGTTAACATAATACATATGTTCTCAAGCACATTCTTTCTTGAAGAAGGAAAACATAACCCAAAAGGCTTAAGTCCCCTCTGACCTTGCCAGGATCCCAGGCCCAGCCCCCTTCCCAGAGTGATAAGGTTGTCTGTGTAGTGTGGCTTCCTTCCAGACTTTTATGTGGATCTGTTTTCCCAGAGGAAATACTAGGCATTTTGTTTTGGCAGCACTGGGGTTTGAACTCAGGGCTTCACATTTGCAAGGCAGATGCTCTACCACTTGAGCCAAGTCACCACGTCTCATTTCCAAGTACTTTAGATGCATTGTCTCATTTAATCTTAACAGTAATCCCCTCCAGGTGGTTACTACTATGGTGCCCATTCTAGAGAAGGGGGAAATTGAGGCAAAGACAAAGCTGTTTGCTTTGGGTCTTGAGCCAGAGTTTGATCTGAACCAAAATACATCTAGGTCTAAGCTTTGTACAGCAAGTGGTAGAGAGCTTGCCTAGCAAGTACATGACCCTAAGTTCTATTCCTAATACCATCAAAAAAAAAAAAAGAACAGTGGGAGTGGGAGCTGGGTGCCAGTGACTCACACCTGTAATCTTAACTACTTGGGAGGCTGAGATCAGGAGGATCAAGGTTCAAGGCCAAAAGGTTCATAAGATCCGTCTCAACCAATAACTGGGCCTAGGAGCACATGCCTCTTCTCATCCCAGCTACCAAGGGGATGCTTCCAGCTATGGAGGGAAGGGAAAAATAGGAGGATCACAGTTCAGGCCAGTTTGGACAAGAAGCAAGACCCTATCTCCAAAATAACTAGAGCATCTGGACACTGGTGGCTCATTCCTGTAATCCTAGGAAGTAGAGATGAGGAGGATTGTAGTTTAAAGCCAGCCCCACTGAATAGTTGGTGAGGCCCTATCTCAAAAATACCCAACACAAAAAAGGACTGGTGGAGTGGCTCAAATGTGAGATCCTGAGTTCAAAACCCCAGCACTGCAAAATAATAAATTAAAAAATAATAACCAGAGCAAAAAGGGCTGAAGGTGTGACTCAAGCAGAAAGTACCTGCTTAGCAAGCATGAAGCATGAAGCTCTGAGTTCAAACTCTAGTACCACCAAAAAAAAAAAATGAAAGAAAGCAAGCTGGGCTGGGGATGTAGCTCACTGATTGAGTGTTTGCCTAGCATGAATGAGGCCCTAGGTTTGATTCTGATTCCCAGTAACACACACACACACACACACACACACACACACACACACACACAAGTTGATTAAGTATCCTTTACCTAAAATGCTGAGGACCAGAAATGTTTTGGATTTTGGAATATTTGCATATAGATAATGATATATCTTGGGGATGGGACCATATCTAAACATTTTATCTTTCTATCTATTTATTTATTTTGGTGGGACTGGGATTTGAACTCAGGGCTTCAAACTTGCACTCTACTGCTTGAGCCACACTTCCAGTCCATTTTGCTCTAGTTTAGAGATGGGATCTTGTGAACTAACTATTTGCCAGGGCTGGCCTCAGGCTGTAATCCTCCCTAATTATAGCACACAGTCAGTCTGCTTTAGCTGTTTTGAGACAGGGTCTTGCTCTGTAGCCTAGGCTGGCCTCAAACTCATGATCCTTCTGCCTCAGCCTCCCAAGTGCTGGAATTACAAATGTGCGCTACCACTCCCCTGCTCTGAAGGCAATTTTTTTTTTTTTTTAGTAGTATTGGTGTTTTCTAGGCAAGAGTTCTACCACATAAGCCACACCTCCAACCCTTTTTGCTTTGGGTTATTTTTCAGATAAGATCTTGTGCTTTTTGCCTAGACTGGCATCAGACCATGATGCTCTTACCTTTGCCTCCTGCTTAGTTGAGATTACAGTTATGTGCCACCATGCTTACTTTATTTGTTGAGATGGAGTCTTGCTAACTTGATTTTTCAGTGCTGGCCTTAACCTTGATCCTCCCAATCTCTGGATTATAGGCATGAGTAACTACACCCAGCCACTGAAGGCAATTTATAGTTTTGTGGGAATTTTTTTTTTGTAGTCCTGGGGATCAAATTCAGGGCCTCACAAATGCTAGACAAGTGTTCCACTGAGCCACACCCCAGCCCTATTTTATATAATATTTTTAATGTGCTCTGTCTTGAGTACATGACATTTGCATGTCTTTAATACTTGAGATGAGGTCAAGTGTGGAGTTTTCCCCTTATGGCATTATATCAGTGCTCAAAAAGTTTTGGATTTTGCATTTCTAATTTTTGGATTAGAGACACTCAGCCTCTCCTGCCACAGACCAAGGCAGAACATGGCTCCCTGGATTCTGAGCACTGAGTGGGGGCTAAGTGAAGGTCCCAGACTTGCTGATAGCCAGCATCCTTTTTTTCCTCCTTCCCCTCCTGCCCACTGCAGAAAATTGACCCTGAGGTGTCAGCCTTCCTGCAGAAGCTTCGAAGTAGGGTACAGATCGGTGTGGTGGGTGGCTCAGACTACTCCAAGATTGCTGAGCAGCTGGGTGATGGCGATGAAGGTAGGAGTGGGCCAGGACTGTTCCAACTGGGGAGGGGTGCAGGGAGTGGGGAGTTGGGAGAGCCTTGGGTACCTTCAAAGGCCCAGCCCTGCTTCTGTGGGGCAGAAGAGATAGAAGAGGAGCAGCTAAATGGCTCTCTCGCTGAATCAGTAAACATTTAGTGAGCACCTACTATTGCCAGGCACTGTGCTAGGCTCTGGAGAAATATCTGGGAACAGAAGAGGCAGAGTCCTGCCCTTGGGCAGTGTGCCTTGATTTCCTCATCTTTGCAATAGGTACATCATCGTCAGTGGCTACAATTTGTTGAAAATGACAGGTGTTAACTTCCCTTCATGCAATCCTCACAACTACGTTTTGGGATAGACATGATTGACCCATTTACAACAGTGAAGACTGAAGACATCCAGGAAGTCGTGTAGACCTTAGAGCCCCTAGTTTCAGCTCAGTGGCAGTAGGTGCCTTCAGTTCCTCAAACCAGAAACTTCCTGAGTTTGTACTTTTCCCTGTCCCCTTGTTCATTCCACCAGGAAGTCCAAAAGCATCTGCCTGTCCTGTCTGTCTCCATTTCCACCACCCACATAGTCTAGGTGATCCTCACTGGCCACCAAGATCCTGCAAGAGCTGAAAATTGCTCCCTGCAGCCACCTGACACAGAGTGAGGACGCTGAAAAGAGGGAGCCCCTATGCAGAGGAACTGTGGGAACACAGAGCCAAAATGATGCCCTTTGCTGGGCAGTTGTGGAAATCTTCCAGAGGAGGGAGCTGAATCTTGGAGGCCAAGTGTAGGAGGACACCAGGGAGAGGGCACTCCCAGCAGAACCTAGCAATGACCTAGAGGAGTGACTAGTTCTGTGAAAGAAAACAAAGTTGCAGAAAAAATAAAAAAGGGAGGCTGAAAAAGCAGGTTCTGGGTGGAATCAGTAGGCTCTGATTGCCAAACCAATGTGGGCTTCATCCCCTTCTCTTGTCTCTTGGCTAGCAATGGGACCTGGTCTCATGTTTTCTTTCTCTCCTGGCTTCTGCATGGTCCTGAAGTCATTGAGAAGTTTGATTACGTGTTTGCCGAGAATGGAACGGTGCAGTACAAGCATGGACGGCTGCTCTCCAAGCAGGTCAGGGCCCCCCAGGGCTAAGCTGGAGGTACCCCACTTTTCCGCACTGAGACAATGCAGGGATGCCTTCTGTCCTGAGCTGGGGGGGAGTTGAGTGCCACACTGAGAGCCCTGTGTTCCTCACAGACCATCCAGAGCCACTTGGGAGAGGAACTGCTGCAGGACTTGATCAACTTCTGCCTCAGCTACATGGCCCTGCTCAGGCTGCCCAAGAAGCGGTGAGGCCCCACCTGCCTGGGCTCCAGAACCTGGGGCCTGAGGGAGGAAAAGTATGGGTCCCTCAGATGGAACCTGACACACTCTGGGCCCCTAGCTGTTTTGTGGGTTTTTTTTTTTTTTTTGGCAGTGCTGGGGATAGAACCCAGGGCCTTACGCCTGCTAGACAAATGCTCTACCACTAAGCTACACCCCAGGGCTGAGCCCTGACCTATTGGTGGTTAGGTTATTGCCCTCTGTGAAGTCCAGGGAGGCTGTGGTCCCAGATGGGGCTGGATTTGAATTCAGGGCTGCTCTCTTCTTCCTGGTTTCCTGCTCTCCCTCTTCCTCCTCCTTCCTCCCAGTGGAACCTTCATCGAATTCCGGAATGGCATGCTGAACATCTCACCCATTGGCCGCAGCTGCACCCTGGAAGAACGGATTGAATTCTCCGAGCTGGACAAGGTGCTGCCCACCGTGCAACCGTAGGCCTTGCAGGACCTGTCACTCGGCCTCTCTGAGCCTTGTTTTTTCATCAGTAAAATGGGTTGGGGGAGGAGTTCCAATTGACTGATAACTTGAGCACCATGTTGTAGCCACATCACTCTCTTTCCAAAGCTGCTTATCTCCCTGGTGACCCACAGCACCAGTCCCTATTGACCCAGCCAACTCATAGGCACCTTTGTCACCTTTGTACCAACATCTGGTACCTTCAGCCTCCAGAGCCAGTCTCAACAATGTGCTCATCTATACAACCAAGACCCCACTCTCCAGTGGGAGCTGCCCAAAGACCTCCTCCTCTGTCCCCCATGTTCCTCGCCCAGCTGCTCCAGCATGCCTTTGAGAACCTTTTAAATACATCTACCCATTCCACTCCCCTGCTGACAGTCCTTCCATGGCTCCTCAGTGCTGACTGGATAAGCATCCCAGCCCTGAGAGATCTGCTGGCTCTGGCTTACCTCTCCAGCTTCCTCTCTGCACCCTTCAGGCTCCCTTTTCTGTACCTAGAACACACCAAGGCCCTTGTCACCTTTGGATGTGCTGCTCCCGCTAAACCTTTTTTGCTTTTCCTCTGTACTGACCACCCCGCCCTCTCGGGGATGGCGCAAGGCCGTCCATCCATGTTTGAACACTGCCTGATCATGTTCTCTCTCTGACTTGATTGGCTGCTCTCCCCCTTGCTTCCTGTTCCAGCCATGGCCTTCTTGCTCATTCCAGAGATAGCAGACAGTTTCCTGCTTCAGTGCCATGTCTTTTGTCTAGAGCACACTTTGCTCAAACCTAGCCTTACTTCAGTGCTGCTTGGGTGTCACATCAGTGAGGTCCTCCTGAGCATCACACGTCACAGTGCACCCCCCGTGCGTCCTGTTTCTCTGTGTTGTTCCTCGGCTTCTTCACTGCTAGACCCCATGCCCAACCCACAGCAAGTCCCCAGGAGATTTTTTTTGTAGTATTGAGGATTGAACTCAGGGTTTTGCAATTCCTAAGCAAGTGCTCTACCTCTTGAACCACACCCCCAGTACTTTGTTTATTTATTTATTTATTTGCTGTGCTGGGAATGGTACCCAGGGCCTCACATATGTGAGGCAAGTGCTTTATCACTGAGGTACATCCTCAGCCCAAGAAATACTTTTAAATGAATTTAGATAGTACAATTTCCATTTTGTGAATGAGGATTCAAGGCTTAGAGAATATGACTTTGCTTTGGCACACTGCCCTTTGGGGCTTCCTTGAAAGTAGTTGGTGTCTCAGCAATGTGACTCCCACCCTGTGGAGTGTGTCCAGAGGCTCAGGGTAGGTAACGGCAATAGGCATGGGGACTTTTCTTGTTGGGGTGGTTAAGATTGACCATTGGCAAACAACCCCTCCCCCCATTAACATTTGGAAAGGTGATTCTTCTCTCTGGCCACCCAGGTTTCCAATCCCAGCTTTACCTCCTATTTAGCAGTAAGCGGAAAAGGTAGCTTTGCTACTGTGTGCCTCGGTGTTCTCATCTGTAAAATGGTATCACAGGAACTCCTATCTCATCGGCTGTCACAGGGTAGAGTAGGGAACCAGCCCCTCAGGGCCAGAGGTTGTGGAGGCTAGGGAGTTGCTGGCACGTTCTAAGGTTTCCCACTGCCCCCAGCTCCTTCTCCTGTCCCTTGGCTCTTGTTCGCCCCCTTGTGGTATTGGAGGGGTGGATATTCCTGATGTGTGTTCCCTACACAGCCTGAGTCTCATATAGGGCTTTATTCTCCTTTGATCCTTCAAACTCTAGGGAACAACCTTCCTTCGATGAGGACACTGAGACAAAGGATGACCAGATCAAGGTCACTATTCTGGTTCCTGCTGAGGCTACGCTTGGCTCATGAGTGACCAGTCCAGTCCTCTGAGAAAGTAGGACCATGGAGAAACATTTTATCAGAGCTTGGGCACCCATAGTTCTCTCTCTGGGCCCAAAGAACAGACATTGGTGGGGGCTCTGGCTTCCCTAGGGCCCACCCACCTGCTGGAAAGGCAAGGCCAAGGCTTGCCTCATCTCTGCTTTTTCCATGAGAAGGAAGCAGGCAGGAGTCATAATTACTTCTTCATTCTTTAGTTCAGAACATGGGCTCAGAGAGATCAGACAACTTACCCAGGGTCACTTCTTGGCTGCTGCCAAGAAGTGCAGCAGCCAGGCTTGGAACCCCGGTTAGCCCGCCTTTAGGGCTTAGGCTGGGTCCTGTCTGGCTTTATCTGCTGGCCTCCCTGGACTGTCTGTCCAGTCGCCATACTGCCTGCCTCTGTTCCATTCCTGCCCAATCTGACTTAAGGTAGTACTCATCACTACTCCTGTGCTCCAAAATCCTCAGTGGCCTTGGTTCCCAGGGATGTTGGGGGACCAAACCTCCCAACCTGGTCTCCAGGCCTCTGAGCTGCATGTCCTGCCGAATTCTCACTGCTGCTTCAGCCAAATGGGGACAGGCATCTCCAGCTGTTCCTGTGGTGTTGGCCCCCTTAGCCCAGTAGCTAAGGTGTCTGGTCTGGCTGGTTTATGTGTTCCATTGCCCCTCCAGGTCCTGCCTGCCCACACCCCCTAGGCCCCAGCGGAATCAGGGATCATCAGGCTCTCTTTGTGGAGGTGCTGCTTGGGGATGGAGGTGGGCTGCCCTTGGCCTTCCTGAATCATCCAACCCAGCCCAGGGCACAGAAAACACAGCAAACGCAAGCTGTTGCTGTGGTCAGACCCAGCACCTGCCACCTCTCTGAGCCCCCACTGCCTCTTATTCATGGGGCTTCTGCTCTCAGCGCCTCACATTTCTGGTGTCTGGGGCATAGTTTGCTGTTGTGACTTGAACTGAGCCCTGCCCTGTGACTTAGACTTTCTCCTCGTGTTTCCACTCCCAGGCCTCCTTTAGAATACCCAATCCCCACCCCCATCAGCAGGAATCAAGAACCTGAATTTAGGCCCTGGCTTTGCCACTGAGGCTGTGTGACCTTGAGCAAGGCACAGTCCCTCTCTGAACCTCCAATTCCCCAAGTGGGGCCATGCCCACCTAGAAGACCAGTTAGCTCACGTGTATTATATGCCCAGCACCATCTTGGCATATGGCAGGCCCTCTGAGCCTCAGTCAGCACCCTCCCTTCTGCAGAAGGAAAAAATCCGGGAGAAGTTTGTGGAAGCCCTGAAGACAGAGTTTGCCGGCAAGGGGCTGAGGTTCTCCCGAGGTAAGTCCACCCCACAACAGGTCTGAAAGGCCTGGCCTGGGAATCCCACCGTCAGGTACATCAGGTGCACATGGAGCCCAAGGTAGGCCAGGGCTCAATATTTATTGGTGTCCCAGTCTTGCCTCCCTCAGCAAATGTTCCATGCCCAGATTCTGAGCCTTCCTCCCACCCCATCCCCCAATCCAATCAGCTAACAAGTCCAGAGCTCTGTCCAGATGCATCTAGAATCTGACTCCATTCACCTCTGCTGCTAGCAGTGCCCCCCGAGGCTACAGCTGACCTGACACAGCTGCCACCTCACCCCATTTCCAGTGACTAGAGGGGAGACCAGCTGCCAGGGTCACTTAGAGCTGTGATCATGCCATACCACTGCTCGAAGCTCCTCTCCTCACTCCAAACAAAACCTAAAGCCTCACTCTAGAGGCAGGTAGTGAGCCTTTGCTCTACCTCCCGGGCCCACTGTTGCTTGCCAGGCCATTCCTTACCTTGTCTTGCCTTAGGGACCGCACCCAGTTCCCCAGACACCCTCCCTCCAGCCACACAAGCTGGGTGAGCTCTCCCCACCATATTGCTCTCAGGTGATTTTGTTCATTTCTCACGGGGATCAGCCCATCCCTAAAGATCCCAAGTCTCCTATGCCCTGTGCCTGGCGCTAAGAAGATTCTCTGGGTTCTTGAGTGAATGAACAATGGGCCTTGCCCAAGCTCACCTTGTAAGCTAACCCAGTGCAGCCTTATCTGACCCTCCCAGGAGAGAGTCACAGCCCCCACCCTTCCTGCAGGAGGCATGATCAGCTTTGATGTCTTCCCTGAGGGCTGGGACAAGCGCTACTGCCTGGACAGCCTGGACCAGGACAGCTTCGACATCATTCACTTCTTTGGGAATGAGACCAGCCCCGTGAGTATGGCTTCATCCATACCCCCTTGAAACCCAAAGCACTTGAGATCAAGACCAGGACACAAGGCATCACAACAGACTTCTTGGGGGACTCCTGGAAGACAGCAAATGCTCACCAGCCCCATTATGCAGATTGGGGCCCAGAGGGAACTGACATTTATTCTGTGTCAAACAGCAAGTCAGGCACAGCTGACAAGGGCTGGGAAGATGGAATTCCTGGTAGTTCTGAAGAGGCAAGAGGAAGGGCAGCTCTGTGGGAGCCAGTGTGAGGAGGGGCCCCAGGGCTGGTTGGCTGCTGGACTCCAACTCTGGGTACCTCTAGGCCTTGTCTAAATCCATGCTTTCTCTGTGTTCAGGGTGGGAACGACTTTGAGATCTATGCTGACCCCCGGACTGTTGGCCACAGCGTGGTCTCTCCTCAGGACACAGTACAGCGATGCCGAGAGATTTTCTTCCCTGAGACAGCCCATGAGGCATGACTGGGGCCCACATCTGAGAATCATGACTTCACAGAGCTCTGCCCCAGCCTGAAGAGAAACCCATGGACATGGCCTTACGTGTAACAACCACAACAAGGCCCATCCATACACAGCCAGAGTCTGTGTGGTGACTGTCCTGAACCACTCTACTGGCAAAACTGGCTCCTGCCTTCCATCCGATGGCCCTGGCCACAGCTGCTGCTGGTACCAGAAGAGAACAGGTCTCTGTCTACCATGTACAAGTACAATAAGGAGCCCATCCTGCCTGCTTGCCTGCCTGCCCTGGACAGACCAAGTGCAGAGCGATAGGGAAGGGGCAGGTCTCAGAGGACTTTATGTCATTGGTATTAAAGTTCCCAAGACAAGGTATGGTGTCAGATGTGTCTGAAGGGATAATGGCTCGAGTCACATGCTGTTATGGCCACCATTTCACAGCTGAGGAAATGGGCAGGAGGAAACAGGAGGTCTTTGATCCACTGAAGCCCCAAACACAGGTCTTCGTGGCATATCCTCCCTCAGGCTTTTCTCTAGACACCCCGACAGAGACAGCTCTTGGCCAATGTGGGTCACAGTTGAGTTTATTGCCAGTGTTAGGAAGGGTGGGGAGTCCGTGGCTAGGGCTTGGGGAGGATTTCTGACTGGGTACTGTACTGCAGGGCCTGACGAAAGAGGGAGAGGCTGCCCTACCAGCCAGGCAGCCTCTGGGTTGATAGCAACACAGCCTGCCTGGTGCCTAAAAGGGTACTGCCTACAGGAGGGAGGCCTAGGACTGAGGGACCCTCTTGTATCAACAAGCCCTCTGCCAAAGGGGCCAGGGAGTCTGTTCCTCTGGTATCGGCCTTGCTGGAGAAGCCGAGCTCACAGTGGGGTGTCAGTGAGGCAGGCCCTTCCCAGTGTTGGGAGACTGGCCAGAGCCTCTCAGCAACTCTGGGCAGCCTCTGTGCAGTGGACACTGGGTTAGGAGGGGAATATAGATGCCTCAGCTGATCTCTACCCTAGGGCCCTGGGCTACCTACAAGGCCACATAGTCACTGACCCCCTCATCCTGTCCATTTGAGCCCTCAATTTTATTTGTAGACTGGGCCTCATAAGGGTCACTGTCCTGACAGGCCCTTTCTTGGGCCTGTGATGCCATTATCCCCCATCAGGTAATGGGCTGTCTAGAAGGGAGGATAGTGGTCAGGGCCCCTCCCTGGCCTCCCAGACCAGGCCAACCCTGCCTCACACACACACACACACACACACACACACACACGTCTTGACTCCAAAGGGACTCCAGGTGACAGGGACAGCCACATTCCAGGTTCCAGGGATGGACAAGATCAGGCCCACTTTGGCTGCTGGTCTGCCAGGGACTTGTGGGAGCCACCATCCTGCCCTCTAGGCAAAGGGTCTTATGATAGTGGTTTCCCAGGCTGAGTGCCATCCTTTGGGTGCTGAGCCTGGCCTTGTCTGAGGATACGTATGTTGATGTATCTCTGTGTCCTCAGCAGCCATCATAGCCAGGCATAGGACAGAGTGTCTACCAGGTTTGTGAGACAGGGTAGAGGGATGGCTCCATCCAAGCTGAGGAGACATGTCCCTGCCTTGCCTCTGAGCTGGAGGTAATGAGCTCAGCACCTGCAGTTCTAAGGGGCTCACAGAGCCACTGCCAGGCTGAGAAGCAGGAATTGGCCAACAGAACTTGAAGCCCCAAGTCCCCTTCTGCCCCAGGCCTCCTCTTTCCTGCCTCTCCAGCTCACTGAAAGCAGGAGCAAGAAGGTGTTGTGGCAGGGAGGCTGCACACCTCCATGTTTTGCCCTCTTCCCCTACCTGAGGCTGGAGCCTCCCACAAAGCACTCACCAGCCTGGCTTCTGAGGGACAGATCCAGGCCATAGCAGAGATGCCAGCCCAGGTCAGGAGACAGGAGCACAAGCAGACTCTGGCTCAGGGCTGGGGCCTGGGCAGAGTAGGGCTGGGGGCAGCAATGAGGGGAGTAAGCTCATAGGAGAGGTGTCCTCTGAATCCCCACAAGCCTGACACAGGCTCGCAGAGGCTCAGTCAATATGTAATGATGGGCAGGAGGGAGAAAGGATCTTGTATATACGTGACAGCAGAGAGGAGGGAGTGACAGGCCAAGGTAGGGTTTGTGGCCTCCCCTCCATCCAGTTCTGGCTGGCTCACACAATAGTTACAGGTTACAGGTGGGTGGAGGCACATACTCACGGCCACAGCACAGACAGACAGACAGACAAACAAACACACTGAGGCCACCTAGGGGCTAGTCAGCAGCACAGTGGGGGGCACAGGGCCTGCTGCTGGCCACCCTCCCCCTGTGGCTGCCCCAGCCTAGGAGCCCACAACCTGGCCAGACCACGTCTCATGGGGAGTGTGAGGAGCCAACTGGGTAAGCACCACTTCCACAGCCTGGAACTTCTGGTTCTTAGGTGGGATAGGGCACATCTTGTAGGTCACCTCATCGCCTTCAACTGGCACATACTCCCCCTCGATGCTGGTGGACAGGAAAAGGGGGTCAGCCCAACAGTGGTCCAATACCCAGATGCCTGGGGGCAGCCTGGCCCTAGCTTTGCTTCTCAGAACCTTGGCTCCCCTGTCATTTCTGGCATTAGGATGGGTGGAGACAGAACTAGACCCACCTCCCCTACTCACCTAACCCTCCCAAAGTCCCCTTCAGGCTGAGGGGCCCAGGAGCTGGCCCAGCAATTTCAGGCCAAAGCTGAACAGGACTCTAGGGCCCTGCCAGTGGTTCCCAGGGCTTCTGGGGTCTGTATGCCCCTCTGGACCTACACTTCCTAAGAGAGGAGATAGACAGCAGGAATACAGAGCTCCACAACCAGGGAAGAAGGGTGGGAAGGGTTTTTTTTAAGGAACCACCAGGGGACAGTCCAGCAGGGCTCTGTCAAGAACAGGGAGGTAGAGGGCACTCACTCAGAAACATGCACGAAGATGTCCTCAGACCCATTCTCGGGGGTGATGAAGCCATGGCCCTGTGAGCGTGAGAACTGCTTACAGACGCCTTTGAACACGGGACCAGCAGAGGCTCGGGCTGTCCTGGGGATAGGGGAGGGGGATTGGAGCTGTGGCCTGGGGAACCCCCTCCCTGGACCCTCACCCTCCTTGGGCCCTGCCTGTGGAGTCAGCCTCAGGGTCACAGGAAATTGTCCAAGGTTAGAAACCACCCAGCTGTGCTACTCAGCCCTCACATTATCCCTGTTCCACAGATAACAAGACTGAGGCCCAGAGAGGGAACTGGCTCTCCTAGGGTGGCTTAGCAAGGTAGTCTCTGCATCACACCCTCCCCTCCTGAGGTCGTTCGAGCTTACATGGACTCTTCTTGTAAAATTTCAGAGTGAAGAATGTCCCACCTAGGCTTGAAGATCTCCCTGAAGTAGAGACCTCACTGTCTCCTGAAGCACTGTACCGTCCGTAGTCCCTCACGCTCTTCTCAGTCATTTTCACTTGTCATTTACTATGCCTGGACTTAGGCTGGACACCGAACAATCGACACTTGCCATCAGAAAAAACTTTTGGTGCCAGGGCATGGCTCAAGTGGTAGTAGAGTACTTGCCTAGCAATCGGCAGGCCCTAGGCTCCATCCCCAGTATCACCATAAAAAAAATCCTTTGGAGGCCACTCATGGTAGTACATACCTATAATCCCAGCACGTGGGGCTACTTAGATGCTGTCTTGGAAAAACAAAATAAAAGAACCCCTCCCCTTCTGGCCAAGTCAAGTCTGGCTCCCACAAGGCCTCATCCAGTGATCTCCCCCAGGGCTAATCTTTGTCCAGCCTGCCTGCAGCTTCCCAAAGGTTAACTCCACGCCATCCCACCCCAAACTCCAAGTACCTTCTTCACCTGATGCACCTTCCAAACCCAGCTAGGACATTGTTGGGTACCCCAGACGCAGACCTCACTCCATCCCTGCCAGGTGGTAGTGGATGGATGGAGGACAAAGTCCCTTTAGAGTATAAATAGCTCCTGAGCCGAAACTTTCTTATTTGTCTCTGGTCCCCTGGTCAGTAGCTCAATAAACTTTTGTGGACTTGAGGGAATCAATGAACAAAGGAATATCACAGTTACTGGAAGGTCACAAACACTCCCCAGTCCTCAAGGTGAGGACAACAGGGAACAGAATAGAGGGGACTGATCAGGCTCAGCCCTGTCTTGGGAAAAGGTCATGGAGCTGGACTGGGCGAGGGACAGGTACTCACGCCGAATATGTCCTGGTTCGTTTAGTAGGCAGAGGGCTAGGAAGGTCCCGAGGTGAGATACCACCCCGTTCCCAGACCCTGCTGCCCTCCCTGTGGAAGGGGAAGGTGGGCCAGACAGGAGACTTGGGGGAGTGGAGGGGTGGCACCACTGCGGGTGATGTGGGCTCCGATGTCATGGTGGGACCAGCAGGAGAGCCTGGTGGGCTCTGGGGAACAGGGGCCGGTGAAGGGCTTGGGTGTCCTTGCGAGCAGGACCCGGCCTGGCCCTGCTCGGCAGCCTCACCAGCCACAGGCTCCGTCTGCAAGGGAGAGAGAGAGAAGCATAGTCAAGTACAGCCTGGGCACAAGTCAGGAGGGCTGTTCCTGTCTGCCACTGCTGCAGCATGGCCCCTCCCTGACGCTGTGTCCTCACCAGAAAGACAAAACAGTCACACAGAGGCTGGAGAGGAGCTCGGAGGCAGAGCTCGTTTAACATGTGTGAAGGCCTGGGTTCCATCACCAGCGTCAAGATAAAATGAAAAAAAAAACAGTCATGGTCATATAACCGCTAGGTTCTTCCAGCTTGCAGTTAATTCTATAATGCCAGGGGCCTGGGAGGCGGGATGTAAGTGGTCAGGATTTGGCCTAAGTGTCCACTGTTTTAAATTCACAGTCCTAGGTTCTAATACTAGCTTTGTCAACTACAATGTGGTGACTTCAAGGAAGGTAGTCATCAGTACCCACATGGTGGGCAGCAGTGAACAGCCTGGGCTGACTATGTGGCCTCAATCAACGTTCTTGACCTTTGACACCGTTTCCTGCTCTGTACCATGAGTACAGTGTTGGTTCTTATTTTACAGGGAGGTTGCTCGAGAACTAAAAACCTTTCAGCACGATTAGAACGGGAGCAGCTCACGGTGAGCTCTTGGGAATGTGGGCTATTTTTCCTTAGCCCAGTTTCTGCCTCTCGAAATGAGGTTGAAGGGCTGGGGTAGAGCACTTGCCAAGCATGCTCAATGCCCTGGGTTCCATCCCAGCAATGCAAAACAAACAAACACACAAGGAGGCCGGTAATAACATGGTCAGGGCTGAGTGATTAGTGTGGGCCAGCACCCAGCGCCTGGCAGTCACTTGTCACCTCCTGCTGGGAGGTGACATATACCTCCCACATATAATAGGCCTCAGTGCCTAGAGAACCTTAAGAAAATCCATCCTGCATTTTCCTCTACTGAGGAAAAGACCATAAATCCCCCACTCACATAACCACACACACTTTTTTGGGAGGGCAGTACTGGGGTTTAAACTCAGGGCCTAATGTTTGCTAGGCCAGTGCTCTACCACTTGAGCCACCCCACCAGTCCTGTTTTGTGTTGGGAATTTCGAGTTAGGGTCTCACAAACTATTTGCCCAGGCTGGCTTTGAAACACGATCCTCCTGATCTCTGCCTCCTGAGTAGCTAGGATTACAGGCGTGAGCCACCAGTGTCTATAAGTCTTACAGCTCAAGAAATACTGTGTGGAACCCCTGGGACCAGATGGACAGCCTTCATAGTATGGGTTGGGGGTGACCCTGGGACCAGGACAACTCTAACTCTGCTACTAGTAGCTGCTGACCTTAGGCAACAGCTTCCCTAACTTGTACAATGGGACGGAAAACCCTGCCTTCCCCTCTCACAGACTATGGCGAGGCTTTTGAACCTGGAATCTGCGCCTGTAGCTCACAGTCATATGGGGTGGGGTGACAGGTTCTCCACCTCCTCACCCCTAGCCCTTCACTGTTCCCAACCACCCCCAAGACCCTGAACAGCAAGTCTATTTCTGGCCTTCATTTTGTGCTCATCCCCAACATACACAAAATGAATCTGGAGTTTCCAGGGAAAGATTTAAGGCTCCTTGGACATCCAGAACCCAGGCAGCCAGAAAACACACATAGCAGGGCTCAAAAGCCCAGGATCTCCCATCTGACTTCCCTCCTTGCATCAGGTCTCCTGGCTTCTGGTCAAAATCACGTAACAAGTGGGACTTTCCTGGAACATCTCCCTGGGGTGGAGATGGGGGCACAGCTTCCCTGTTCTCCCTGCTCTCCCCCTTCAGCCAGGGGAGCTTCAGAGCAGGGCCTGGCTCCCCTCACTGCCCTCTGCCCTCCTAAACTCACGTGCAGCTTTTCTCTCTGACCTCACCAGAGTCAGGAAGGGCCAGGCTTGACATTTGCATATCTATTTATTTATTTATTTTCAGATTTTTTTTTTGGTTTTGATGGTTCTGGAGTTTGAGCTCAGGGCTTTGAGCTTGTTAGGCAGGCACACTGCCACTATTTTTACTTAATTCTTTTCCTGCTGGGGATTGAACTCCTGGCTTCATACATGCAAAGTACACATTCCGTCACTGAGCCTGCCCACACTCCCAGCCCTCATCTTTTTTTTTTCTTTTTTGAGATGGGGCCTTCCTGTGTTGCCCAAGTTGGTCTTGAACTCCTGGGTGCAAGTGATATTCATTCCTTCCTTTCTTCCTTCCTTCCTTCTTTCTCCTCCCCACCCCCCACCTTCCCTCACCAGCATGGGCTGAGAGCCAGCAGCAGGGCCCAGGTGAGCAGCAGTCATAAAGAACAGGCAGGGCAGGAGCCAGCCAGGGCAGTCATCCACCACAGAGAGCCTGGCTCTCCTCCATCCGCCTAGTCTCATCTCCCCATCTGCAAAGCAGAAAGACAGGAGGCCCTTTTCCAAGAAGGACCCTTCTGAGGGTGAAAGGAACCAAAGAGAGGAGGCAGGACAGGTGCTGGGCTAGAACTGCTTCTCCTAGACTGGCTAGGTCAGGATTAAGCTGGGCCCAGCCACACTCCGTGTTCTCCCTGGGTCTCACCCACAGCAACCTTTCCTCCTTTTATTTATTTATTTATTTATTTTGGTGTGACTGAGGTTTGAACTCATGGCTTCACACTTGCAAAGCAGATTCTATACTGCTTGAGCCATGCCTCCAGTCCCCTTTCCTCCTTTTATTTCCTCCAGCAGCTCTTTTTGTGTGTGTGTGTGTGTGTGTGTGTTACTGGGGTTTGAACTCAGGGTATACACCTTGAGGTACACCACCAGCCCTTTTTTGTGATGGGTTTTTTTCAAGATAGAGTCTCTCAAACTATTTTGCCCAGGCTGGCTTCAAACCTCGATCCTCCTGATCTCTGCCTCCTGAGTAGCTAGGACTATAGGTGTGAGCCACTGGCGCCAGGTCCTCCAGCAGCTTTTTAAGAATGGTGTTATTACCCTACTTTGCAGATAAGGAAACTGAGGCTCAATCAGGGCCACAGTTGTCTGGTCTAGGACTTAAACCAGAACAGCCTGACTCTGGAGCCCTGGAGTAGGAAGTCAGAGGTCCTTTGTCAGGCCCTGCATTGCTATTGACTTTCTATGTGATCTTAGACAGGGCCCTTCCCTCTTTGGGGCCTACGGGGTCCTGAACTTGGAGAAGCTACACACCACCTAGGGAGACCAGGAGGAAGGGAACAAAGGGAAGACAGAGCAAGTCTGCAGCTTAGACCTCTCTCTAGAATGTTGCTGTGGAAAAGGGTGTCCTTATCTGAATGCCCTGCAAAAGTCTTTACAAAGACTAATTTACAGTTTTAACCTCCCACTTGTCCTAAAAGGTTGAAATTACAAGTTTCCATTTTACAGCTGAGATAGCTCAGGCTCAAAGAGGATAAGTGACACCTCCAAGGTCACACAGCAGGCAAGGGACCAGTGCCCTTCTATGAATATAAAGTCTGCTCCTGGTTCAGCCAAGATGAGGTTAGAGTTTTCCCAAGAACTTTCCCTGAGAAACAAAAGGGAAAAATAAACTTCCTCCAAGAGCTGAGAGACAGATATGTTTACAGAACATTTGCTTAGCTTGGAGCTACAGGCCAGTCCTGGAGGGATTTGGTATCCACTGTGGACTTCTGCTGAGACTCCCCTCTTCAGAACCAGAAGTTGGCACTAAGAGGGCACTGCCTAGGCTTGGGTCTTGGCTGCCTTGCACCCTTGTTGAGTGAGTCTTCCTTTCTGAGCCTCAGTTTCCTCATCTGTCAGATGGGGTTAATGGTAGCCCCCTGCTTAGGCTGGGAGAGGAGCCCAGGAACTGTCAGTGGTCCACTGTGAGTGGGCATCTGCCCGGCCAGCATGAAGGCCAAGCTGCAGAGGACTCTGTGCTTCTGTAGTAGAGCAGTCCAGGTGCCTCCTGGACAACAGACTGTCAGGACTCTTTGGAGGTAACCCAAGGTGTGATGCGGTGTCATGGGACCTTGGCTCTCCAGACGGTGAGTCAGCCCTGGCAGCAGGTGAGCAGAGCCGCTGTACTGATTCTCAGCCACATCCCCCAAAAGAATGGGGTAGAAATGGCTATTATGGTCCTGTCTTGACCACGAAAATCCCCTCTCAGTCTAAGAAGACCAGGGAAAGAAACCTTCCTCAACCACCCAGTGCTGTGTGGCCAGGGCAAGCAGCTGCCCCTCTCTGGGCTTCACCTTTATCTCCAGCCACATGAATCATTGCTGGTCCAGATGACTAATGAAGGTCAGTCCAGTTCTTCTCTGAAGTTGTCAAAAACACACATAGAGGATACCTAAAGGTAACATTTTCCAATCTATATGCCACACACACAACTGAAAAAAACTGAGTGACAGGAGGGAGACAGGCCTGGCCTCAGAGGGCCCCGACTCTGGTGGGGGAAAAGGAGCACACTCGATTCAGACAGTGTGGGAAGTCCTAATTCAGTAACAATCTCCACTACTATCATTGATTTTTAGGGGGGAGGGGAGAGGCGCACTGGGGTTTGAATGCAGACCTTGCACTTGCAAGGCAGGTACTCCACCACTTGAGCCATTTCCCCAGCCATTTTTGGTTTAGTTATTCTTTGAATAAGATCTTAAGATTCTTCCCTCATAGCTGGGATGACAGATGTACATCAGGTTCAGCTTTTTATTGGTCGAGATGGGGTTTTGTGAACTTTTTGCCTGGGCTGGTCTCAAACCACAGTTCAGATCTCTGCCTCCCAAGTAGCCAGGATTACAGTGTAAGCCACCCACCAGCTCCACCTACAGGCTATTAACCACCTGCCAAACCTTGTCCCAATTCTCACTTAGTCCTGGTAAGAACCCTGTGCAAGGATTACCATGAGCAAACCCACTCTTCAGAAGAGCAAACCAAGGTTCAGAGGGGTGAAGAGGCTGGCTGAGGTCAGAGAGCTGGCTGCTAGCCCTCCTGCAACCCTGAACAGTCTGGGGGGCTGCAGAAAGGCCTTGAACAGAAGACAAAAAGGGGTCCCCATAGTTCCCTGAAAGAAGCTCCTGCCTCCCC